CAGTGGAGGATGGCCCAAATGCTTGGGCCCTACACCCGCATGGGAGACCAGGAGAAGCACCTGGCTGCTGGCTTCCGATCAGCGTGATGCGCCAGCCATGGTGGCCATTGGAGGGTGAACCAACAGCAAAGGAAGACCTTTCTCTCTGTCTCTCTCTCACTGTCCACTATGCCTGTCAAAAAAAAAAAAAAAAAAAAAAAAGGAAGCCCAGCTGCTTGCATTGATTTCTACTATGAACCGCAGTTTGTCACCAACTCCACACCTTATCTGTCATTAATATCTTCAATACAACAGCATCTACTCTGTGGCCCAAAATGCAAGGCTCTTCCACTGCACCTTAACCTGCTGCCAAGCCTCTTCCTGCTGTGGGCTCTACTCAGAGTTGCCTCAGACAGGCACTGGTGTAGTGATTAAGACTCTGCTTGGGAATTCCAATATGGCAGAATAAGGAACTATGTAATGCACAAGGCTAGGGATACACTGTTTAAAAAAAAAAAAAAGTGTAGGAAGTACACTCTCAGGGGAGAATGAGAGGAAACTGCGGTGGAGATTGCGGAATGAAGAGGAATGCTGTGGGCCTGTGTGAAAAATGTGGAGGCGCAGCATGAACACGGACAGAACAACAGAACACACAACTCCAGCAGCTGACAGCTGGAGAGGGCTCCGGCATGGAGACTGATGTGAGACCAGACTGCAAGAACACAGTGATACAGCCAGAGGGAGAGTGTGGCGTGAGTCTGGCCTGGAGCCCTAGGAGCTAGAGGATACCCACGGACCCAGTGGAAGCAAAAGGGGCATGTTTCTCCGGCTGGAAGAGGGTGGCGCCACTCTGGGCATAAGCGGCAGCTGCAGAAGCCGTTGTGCCCATGCGCAGCAATTGGCTGAAACAGGACACCACCTCAGCGGCATTGGTGGGGAGAGGACAGCATCTGGTCAGTGCTGGTCAGTGGCTCTTATGTATGCGCGTGATCCAGAAATTCTTTTTTTTTTTTTTTGACAGGCAGAGTTAGTGAGAGAAAGGTCTTCCTTCCGCTAGTTCACCCCCCCAAATGCCTGCCACGGCCAGCACGCTGCACTGATCCAAAGCCAGGAGCCAGGTGCTACCTCCTGGTCTCCCATGCAGGTGCAGGGCCCAAGCACTTGGGCCATCCTCCACTGCACTCCCTGGCCACAGTAGAGAGCTGTACTGGAAGAGGGGCAACCAGGACAGAATCCGGCACCACGACCGGGACTAGAACCCGGGGTGCCGGCGCCGCAGGCGGAGGATTAGCTTAGTGAGCTGCGTCATTGGCCTAGAGATTCTAACAGAGGGAAAATCTGCGTTCACCACTGACTTTGAGCCTGGCTAGGATAGAAGGGGGCTGGAAACCCACATAAAACTCTGAGCTTCCCCCAGCCTCCCAACATATAATAGCCTCCGGAGCTCAAGCCATGTAAGGGGAGATCCCACGGGCAGCTGGCTTGGGGAATGTCTGCCTTTCTGTGGACTGGACAGGCTGGCAGGGTTGCATGGACCCTCTGCACCCAGCAACTCTGGCAGCCTTGTGTGCTGAGACTGTGGGGACTCTGGTTGCATGAGAGGGTGCAGGGTGTAGCCGAGTCTGGGCAATCACTGTGTGAGGCTCCACACTCAGAGCTCCCTGGTCGCCTGGGGCAGGTCACTGCAGCAGAATCTGTGTTCGGACTGAGGAATGCACAGATCATTTGAGTGGTTCACATGGTGACACAGATGAGTGCTGAACCCACTGGTGGCTAAAATCCAGGCACTGATCAACTTGGAGAAGAGGGGGTGAGAGTGTTATCACAGCAACAGAGGTAACCATTCCCTCCTCCATCTGTTAACAAGAGGAGATCTACCATACCCAACTTGGGTGATACCCTGGATAGCTGCCCCACCCTGGAGCACTGACCAGAGCTTCCTGGCCACACTCAACACACCACGTGGTATTCACTGGAAGCAGAGAGACTCCACTAAGCCACAGAAGCATAATTCAAAGATAAAAGCCATTAGAGGAAAAAGCAACAAGTTTCTCTACAAATGCCAAAAATAAATGCAGAAATTCAAAAAACAGGAATAAGAAGGACAACATGACACCCTCAAAGGAACATAACATTTCAATATTAGAATGTGAAAATAAAGAGGTTGATAAAATGCCAGAATGAGAATTCAAAAAAATCAGATTACTCAGAAGCAATCAGAAGCAAATACATGAATTAAAGAAATCCATAAATGATAAAAATGAAAAATTTTCAAATAAAATTGAGATTTTTAAAGAGAAATAAAAATGAAATATTAGAAATGAAGAACTCAATACATCAAATAAAAATGTGGAAAGTCTTAAGAACAGACTTGGTGAGGCAGAATAAAGAATTTCCAGGCTAGAAAACAAATCTTTTGAAATTTTTCAGTCGACAAAAAAAATAAAAATAAAAAAGATGAAATTAGAAAAATTAAAAAACAAAAAAAAAATGTTGCAAATTTAGGGGATACTATCAAAGGACCCAACGAAGGGGTCTTAAGTGTTTCTGAAGGTGTGGAAAGAAATAATGGACTAGAAGGTTTGTTTAGTGACATAATTACAGAAAAATTCCCCAATTTAGAGAAAGAGACATCAAAATACAGGAAGCACACAGAACTCCTGAGACATAACCATAAAAGATCTTTCAGCACAACACATTGCAGTCAAACTTTCAACAGTAAAATATAAAGAAAAGACTATAAAATGTGCACAAGAGAAACCCAATTACTTTCAGAGGATCTCCATTTATACTCACAGCTGACTTTTCATCAGAAATGCTACAGGATAAGAGACAATGAAGAGACCCAGTCTAAGTCTTAAGAGAAAAAAACTGTCAGTCCAGAACACTGTACCCTGCAAAGCTCTCATTTATGAATGAAGATGAAAAAAAGACCTTCCATAAAAAGAGAAATTTGTCACTACTCATCCAATCTTACAAAAGATGCATAAGGATGTGCTACACACAGAAACATCATCTTCACTATGAAAGAATGTGAAGGCAGAAAATCTTCCAGTAAAGGTACAAAGTAAATCCAAAATAAACAATAGAAATATTTATGGAAAACTGGCAGGGCAATGTATTACTTATCAATAGTAATCTTGAATGTAAATGGCCTCAACTCTCCAGTTAAAAGATACAGACTGGCTGAATGGATTAAAAAACAAGACCCATCTATCTGCTGCCTAAAAGAAAGAGATCTCACCAACAAAGATACACACAGACTGAAAGTAAAAGTATGGGAAAAGATATTCCATGATAAAGTAAAGGAAAAAAGTGCAGGTGTAGCAGACAAAATAGACTTTAACACAAAAACTGTTAAAGGACATGAAGAAGTGCACTATGTAATGAATAAGGAATCAATTCAACAGGAAGATGTGACTATAATAAATGCATATGCACCCAACTGCAGGATGCCTGGCTAATGGAAATTACAAAGGACCAAAGAAACAGATGACATAAAAAAAATGTTCATGGATTGGAAGAATCAATATCATCAAAACGTCCATACTACTGAAAGCAATTTACAAATTCAATGCAATCTCAGGTAAAATACCAAGGACAGTCTTCTCAGATCTAGAAAAAAATGATGCTAAGATTCATACAGAAACTCAAGAAACCCCAAATAGCTAAAGCAATCTTATACAACAAAAAGCTGAAGGCATCACAATACCAGATTTCAAGACACATTTCAGGGCAGTTATAATCCAAACAGTCTGGTACTGGCACCAAAACAGACCTGTACACCAATGGAACAGAACACAAAGTCCAGCACTCAACCCACCCATCTACAACCAACTTATTTTTGACAATGAAACTAAATCAATCCCTGAGCAAGGACAGTGTCTTCAACAAATGGTGCTGGGGAAACTGGATCTCTGCATGCAGAATAATGAAACCAGAACCATACCTTACACCTTACACAAAAACCCACTCAAAATGGATCAAAGACCTAAATCTATGACCCAATGCCATCAAATTATGAGAGAACAATGCGGCAACACTGCAAGACAAATATATGGGCAGACTTCTTGGAAAAGACCCCAGTAACATAAATAATCAAACCCAAAATTGACAAATGATATTACTTCAAGCTAAGAAGGTTTTGTACCGCAAAAGAAACACACGGCAAAGTAAAGAGGCAACCAACAGAATGGGAGAAAATATATGCAAGCTACACAAGTGATAAAGGGTTCATATCCAGAATCTATAAAGAGCTCAAGAAATTCAACAACAACAAAACAAATAATCTAGTTAAGAAATGGGCAAAGGACTGGAACAGACATTTTTCAAGAAAGGAAGTTCAAATGGTCAACAGATTTGAAGAAATGCTCACGATCACTAGCCATCAAGGAAATGCAAATCAAAACCATAATGAGGTTCCATCTCACCCCCAGTTAGAATGGCTCTCATACAGAAATCAGTAAATCACAAATGCTGGTTAGGATGCGGGGTAAAAAATATCTTAATCTACTGTTGGTGGTAATGTAAACTGGTACAACCACTGTGGAAAACAGTGTGAAGATACCTCAGAAATCTGAATACAGACATATTATATGATCCAGCATTCCCACTTCCAGGAATTTACCCAAATCAAGAGAAATAAGCATATGAGTTATGGGTACCCCCATGTTCATTGCAGCTGAATTCTCAATAGTTAAAATATGGAATTAACCCAGATGTCTATCAACTGATGACTATATAAAATAAAAAACTATTGTGTGTGTGTATATATACATACATATATACACACACATATATATACATATATATACACATACATATATACACATATATATATACACACACACACACAAACACACATACATACATACATACTATGGAGTAATACTCAGCTGTAAAAAAAAAAATGAAATCCATACCACATCTTCCTTGATTGGCAACTGCCTTTGAAGTTTACCCATTCAACTATTAAGTCTTTAGCCTGATGCTCAATTTTCTCAATTCCACTGCAAGAGACAGTTGTGTGTTTTTTTTTTTTTTTTAATATGCAACTAGAGTTGCTATAGGTTTCAGACCTGGCTTCCCATTGCATGTTTTGGCCTTCAGCTCTTCATTTTCTCTACTGAACAAGAAATGGTACAGCAATGACCATCTATCCCTGGTATCATCACTTACAATTTTCTCCTTACATCTAAAATGCCAATCAGATAATGCATCCCTTTCTATCACTATACCACTTCAATTCCTGGTCAATGTAAAGTTATAACAACTGGAACTTGTGCAAGGGCTGTCCATTCTCCACCTACCATCAAACATCGGGTTGTGCTGCATATCCTTGTGTCTACCATGTAATAACCCACTGCTATCTATTTCTATATTTGACAAACAATAAAGCAGTTTACCAAAAATACTGAAATGTTTTCCAAAATAAGTAAAAAAATTGAGAATAAATGTTCAAAGGTATATATAAGTGAAACACTAATTTATTAAAAAAATAAATTTCCTGAGCAACACATCTGTAATGATGGCACTTCATTATGTCTCTAAAAATGGTGAGCAGTCACCTTTGTCAATACATTTAGGCATTAGTAATAGGTACTGTTCAGGACATGTACTGTGAAGAGATGGACTGAGTCAGTTGCTAAAACAAATACTGTGACTACTTAAGATAACATAATATTTAATGAAAATTTAGATTATAGCATATTCATTTTCTGGACAGACCTAAAAGCAAAAATACAGTAATTCATTTTATCCACGACTACATTTTATAAAATCAGATACAGTGAATTTATAAGCAGTGTTTTAATAAAAACAGTAATTTAATTTCAAATAAATATATTACCTATTCCTTTATCCTATATATAGGGATCTAATTGGCAAGCCTACTAGATTACAGAGACCAGTAATAATCTAATTCATGATGCCTCATTTGCTTGAATCAATAAACATCTTACATTTGAACCTTATTTTTTATGCTATAAGCCTGATTATTAATTCCTATAAAAATGCTATGCCCCACAAGTTGGCCCAGTAAATGTGACTAGTCTTTTGCCCAAGGCCAAATGCTAGTACTTTGAATATCTGCACACGATTCATCAAGCACACACACATTCCTGCTTCTCTCACACAAGGTCACCAAGGGCAAGCAGCTCTCCTAGTTCTCTTGCTCCTCATAATGAGCATAACCGCTGGCATAAGTCCTTCCTAAATTCAAATTTGTAAACAAATCTGATGACTCAGCATCTGAATCCTTTCCACCTTCATATTCTTCCTCCTCATCATCCTCTGCTTCGTACTCATCCTCCTCCTCATCATGGTAGCCACTCTCCCCATATTTGTCAGATGAAAGGTTCTTCCAATAAGCATCATACCCAGAAGCTCCATCGCCCTCTTCACCTCCAGCCTGCCTGCCAAATTTCAAGGAGCGTGCTACAAAAGAGACATACATATTGGTGTTTTTGTTAGTTCCAATTCTCCAAATACTCATTTTCCTAATATGTAAAATCACATGAGCTTCACTGAATACTTCTTATTCCCAAATGGAAAAGTAGATGATATTTCCTTAGTTTTCTCAGGACTATACACACACCATAACAAGTAATAAAGATGATAGTAGCTTTTCGTTAAATGTACAAAAAGTTAGAAAACAAAATGTAGATAAATGTTAACTCTTTGAAGATAGTAAGGTGCATTAAAAGTTAAAACACCCTTCATTCGGTCAACTAAAGTTTATTTCCAAATCACAAAATCAAACAACACAGTTGATTTCATGACCCTACATTTTCCCTAGGATGGCTTTTTTATAATACAAGTATCCTGGAAAACAAAACTTTGCTTTCTTCTGCCTTAGTAGCAACACAAATGTTAGTGCAAAGGATCAGAAAAACCAATCTCACTTCATTGTGCTACTACGTCCTTAACTAAACAAAGTATTATCAGTTGTTCAAAATTATGGTTCCATTCCGCTGTGTTTGATAAACAAATTTGTCTTTAACAAAACTGTTAGCTACACATTTGTAGTAGTCTTATTCCTTCATGAAAAAGTTATATAAAGCCAGAAAACAATTTCCTATAGTACTAATATATTATATATGCATAGTGCTGAAATACCACACACCTAAGAATAGTTTCAGAATAACTTTTGACTTCCAGCTACTAAAGATTATCAACACTTGAATAACACTTGAATATTAAAGATTTATAGTCACTTAATTATTAGTAAGGAAGACTTAGCAAACACAGAAAAATCATTTTTCCATCCTAAACATCAGTAGTCACCAATAGTAACTGAGGCAAATGCCAAATATAAATGTGGATATTGAGATACATATATAAGTGTGTGTGTGTGTGTATTAAGTAGAAAAATTTTAGCCATATACTTTTCAAGGCTATAAAATTACCCATATTAAGAGAGCACCTCATCTTTTCAAAGCAGCAGCAACAGTAAGAAAAACAAGGGAAAAGATAAACCGGGGGAAAAGATAAAAAGATAAAGTTTAAACACTTTGGAAAAGCAAAGCACTCCATTGGTATCTTACGAAGGGCCTTACTTGACATGCTGAGATCCTTGGTCTCCTGAGTTTCATGTCCACATTTAGGACAAGGAGGTTGCTTTCCTTTTTCTTGCTTAAACACTTTGCTCCTTGTATGATCATCACAGAAACAAGCCTATAAAGGACAAGTGAAAATACATAATTAAATAAATAAAAATATAAGAATATTTAAGAAGACATCAATCAATATTCCAAGAAAATTCAAAGATGCAGACTTGGTAAGGCAGAGATGAATAACTTTGTTGAGACTAGTTAACACTCCTGATTTCAATTTCTTGAAGAGTAATGGTTTTTCTGGAACTCTTCTGAACCAAGAGCAAATACAAGACAGAGACAAACTATACACAGAGTATGACAGGTAGGCATAAGTATTCATTCATAGATATCTGCATATTCATCAAGTCCCTGATGACATAATGGTGAACAGTATTTACCACACAAAGTATACAGTCTAACTGGAATAGTGAAGAGGCCATTAGAAGTCACTAAGCATTGAAAGGAAGTGCAGACAAAAGGTACTAAACCAGACATGAGATTTCATGGAAGACTTTCTGAGACATGACATCTTAGCTGAGGCAAGTGCAGTAGAGTAAGCAAAGACTGAAGAGGTTTTCTATGCACAATGACACAGCACAGGCCACACCTGAAAGGTGAGAGCACGAACACCTTCCACACACTGAAAGCCATCTGGTTAACCAGAGTGAAGCTGGGAGAGCACCACAAGAATGGAAGAACTCCAAAATTTTTCCGAGAGGCAGTGAACTGGCTGCATCTGTTTAGTGATCATTCACAGAAATGCAGGAGACTAAGGAAATGGAACATTAAGGAAATCTTTCACTTTACCCAAACTCTTCTAAGAAGGTGCATTTTGACATTAATTAAGATACTTCCAGGGCAGACATCTGGCAGAGCAGTTATGACACCTGCATTCCACAAAGTACGGTGATTCCATTCCTAGCTCAAACACCTGATTACAGCTTCCTGTTAATGCAGACTCTGGGAGACACTGGTGCTGACTCAAGTAACTGGGTTCTTGCAATCCATGGATTGTGTTCCCACCTCCTAGCTTCAACCCAGTCAAGGCCCAGCTATTGTGGACATTTGGGCAGTAAACCAGCAGATACAAGGCCTCTCTCTCTCTCTCTCTTTCTCCCTATTATGTCTACTGCTATTTCTGCCTCTCAAATAAATAAAAATTAGATACACACTTTTTATAAGCACACACACATACATATATTTATAAAATACTTTGGTCAGAATGTTCTCCATAAACATAGGTGTAAGAAACACTTAGCCAGGACCCCAGAGACATGTGCACTAGTGACAACTCTACCATAAGCCACTGGAAAACCACTGGAAAGTCATTTAAGCTTTAGTTTCAATTACACAATGTCAAAAGTGAATGATTAAACTGCATAATTCTTAATTAAGGTCCTGTATAGATGGATTACAACTATAAATAATCCAAGGACTGCTGTAGAAATACAGAGACTAAAAACAGAGTCTAAAAAGAAAATATATAACTATACCTTACAACGGAGACATGAATGCTGACCAAGCCGATTGCATGAAACACCTATGGAAGATAGATACATCTTTAAATCCTGTCAGTAATTCAGTTCTTCTATTTTTCCTTTGTTTACCAAAGCACTAAGATTCCTCATTGGGATTAGTGAATTACCAATCACAGTCTCTTAGGTTCAAATTCTATAAAACACACAAGCTCCCAAATCTCAAATTAAAAATTCAATTTTTATGTTACACATTATGCAAAAGTCTAAGGTAAATATGCTAACTAGCTATATACTTTGAGATGCTCTTTGAGAATTTTCTATATAAATATTACAAGCATTTGATACATATACACAAGGTATATATATATATATATACACACACACATACACAAATGTGTACAGTATGCGTATGCTATATGTCTACCTTAGATCAAAGACATTAATTTTATAGTTGAGTTCAGGAATTAGCATTTCTTACCAGAAAGAGAAACTAAAGGAAATTATTATCTGGGAGAATATGTCATTTTACTATGATAGTAACTACCATTTAATAAGGACTAAATGCCGGGTTCACACAGGAAGGCTTTATATGGATTCTCATTTCAATTAACCTTTTGAGGAAGAAATTCTCCTCAAAGATAAGGACTATTAACCTGGTCAGCAACACTGGTCCTTGACTGGAAATTACATGAGAATCATGCATGCAGGTTAAATACTGATGCCTGGCACCCACCACAGACTTGTAAGATGGAATATCCAAGGATGAAGCCATGGTATTTGTATTTATTTAAAACCTCCACAGGTACTTCTGATGTGCATTCCTGTGTAAGAATCATGGGTACCAACTGGCAGGTCCAAACTTGGTTACTGTCACTTATCAGAGGACATTTGGAACTAAGAATAGGGGTAATGGAGGGGGTTTGGTTGTTGTAACTTGAAAGTGAAAATGATACTTGGTACTAAGGACCAGATATACTACAAGCCTTGCAAAGCCTGAAGCCCACAAAATGAAGAACTGAAACAACCACTGGCCTCCCTGTTGAAACCTTCAGGATTATGTGGTTTCATTTTCTTCTAGAAACAGAAAATTGATATTGAGTTAAATTACCACAAGAGACTACACAAAAAAATGCAATTTCTTTTTCATGAACATTTATACTATCCAGAATATTAAGCATAAAGAACATCTGATATTAAGAAAACAAACTTACATTTAAATGTTTCTGCCTCTAAAACCTGGCAGCTGGCTTGATGTTCAAATTGATCATCTTCACAGAGAAAATTATGGCAAAAAGAGCAACTGAATATTCTGCCTCCTATTGATTAAAAAATGAAAATAGGATAAAACTTTATTGTAAAAATATAATATCTATAAAACTGAAAATATAGAGCAAATCATTTCAGAGGTACACCAAAATTACACATCAAAATTGAACAGTAATTTTTGTTCTAATGAAAACTAAAAACTACTGAAGTTCTTGAAATTGAACTTTAAAAATGTGGGTTCCCTATCTCCCCTGACTGCTCATGTAATACAATGCTCGAAGAGGCTACCTACTCCTGACAACCACTCTCTCTACCTGCTTAAGTAAACAGTATCACAGACTATTAATGCTCAGATAAATCCCCTTTCCAATAAATTTTTTTTTTTTAATTTTATTTATTTATTTTTTTTTTTTGACAGGCAGAGTGGACAGTGAGAGAGAGAGACAGAGAGAGAAAGGTCTTCCTTTGCCGTTGGTTCACCCTCCAATGGCCGCCGCTGCAGCCGGCGCACCGTGCTGATCCGATGGCAGGAACCAGGATCCAGGTGCTTTTCCTGGTCTCCCATGGGGTGCAGGGCCCAAGCACCTGGGCCATCCTCCACTGCACTCCCTGGCCATAGCAGAGAGCTGGCCTGGAAGAGGGGCAACCGGGACAGAATCCGGCGCCCCAACCGGGACTAGAACCCGGTGTGCCGGCGCCGCAAGGTGGAGGATTAGCCTATTGAGCCACGGCGCCGGCTTCCAATAAATTGAATATCAAAACTGTACTAATAGTTAGGGTTAACAATATCCTGGAAAAAAAACATTTTTAAATAGCATTTAGAATGTTTATCAGTCAGCTGTCGCTTAGGGCAAAGCTTACTGCTTACATCTTATCACTCACCATGATCCCATACACCTCGTTCACACTCAACACACTCAGCGTCAGTAAGAGGGCAGGCACAGGCATGTGTACTGAGACATTTCCTTCCATGGCACACCCAAGCTTCACAGAAGTCACATATTGCACCCTGCAGCCAAGAAACAAGAAAATCTATTCACTGTCACTTGATCAACTGCAACTGTTATTTAACAAATGGTACCATAAAAACCACATGTATATAGCAACACATCAATGCTCAATGATAGTAACCTACTTTTATTAAAGAAAAGACTTAACTGCTCACTCTAAGTCAACTACCTCACTAACAGTAATATTCATGATACGCAAAACAGCCATAAACCAAAATAAAAAGCTAAGGGAGACTATACACATACCCTATTATAAATTTAAGTCAAGGGAGCTAGGAGTGCTGCCTTCAAAATGAATTCTGATTCAAAGAAGTTTGGAACTCACAGTTTAAGCTTTCTTGTCTATAACAATCCCTGAATTTTTAAATACTACCACTTCTGATATAAGATTACTTATCTATATAACCTATAAAACAATCATATAGCTTTTTCTTAAGGGAAATACTACATTTCTTCCATCTCCCTTTTTCTTTTAAGGCAACTTATGTTTGAAACCATTATTACATTTTTCAGTGGAAAAATATTGAAAGTAAAATATATGAAACTACACAACAAGGTAAGACTCTCCAATTCTATAGAAAGTTAAGACTGTGAGAATTTGTCTTTCAATAACACACTGACACCTACAGAATATTAAAAGCTAGAACAAAATTTGAGAGATGATTGCTCCTTTAAAAATTAAGAATTTGAGGCCCCAAAGTGAACCCGAGTTCCTGATTTAGATTACAATTGAACTGAGTTTTAAATCTAGATTTTCTGAATCTCAGTTCAGCAGTCTATTATTCAAAGCTCTGTGACAAAAACAGTAAAGACTGATTATCAGTGAGTGTAACCACGAAATCTTCAAGTATAATTTTATCTCTTAGATCATTCCAGGTTCTAACAAGGAGAAGACACTCTCAAAGGAAGACATCTAGGAGAAGTTAAAAGAGGTAAAGTACAGGGAGGGGTTCAAAAAAAAAAAAAAAAAAAAACAAGGGATAATATGGCTACCATTCCCATACCTGTAAGCAAAGAGAAAAACCCAATGGAGAAGACTATACAAGAAAAAAAGGCCTGTCTCATGCCAGAAAATTGTATATCTATTCACAAAAACAGCACTGCTTTCTGCATTTGGACTAGACATCAGAAGTAAAAATCACAACAAAATACATTTTTAAAAGGAAAACATGTTTTAGTGAAAAAGAGAACATATAATCCAATTGTTCTATTATTTAAAATACTGAATTTCCTTGGAAAATCCTACATTAATAAAGAGATTATATGTTAAGTATACGTACTTTTGTGAACTATAATACTTAGAAAAACTATTAATCCTAGGTTCTTCTGGAAGTCAAATAAGCCTGCCCTTCTAACTAAAGGCTTAAATATTGGTTAGACTGTGCTTTCAGTAAACAGTATTTTGTTTTACAGTCTGATTAGCTGAGAACTTTTGCTTCAATCAACAAAAATTAAGTTTCCACTCTTTGGACATTTTCCCAATAAGAAAAAAATGAGCCCCAAACAAGTGGGTTATGAGGGAAATATACAAAAAACATGCCAGAGAAAAACTAGGTGACCAGAGAATGACTGAAGCAAGGGATGAAGCACAGCTATACAGAAAAAAAAACACCAATTGGTCAAAATGACTTTTCCTTATCCTTACAAACCTACTGGTCTAAGAAATGACAAGAAGCTTACCACCATTGCAAGGCCAGTACTATACACACCAGCATGCTTTATGACACAATCAGAAGATTTCATCATGCATTTTGTTTTCCCTAGTAAAGAAAAAAGTTTGCACTATTACTTCTGCAAGATAGAACATGTAAGTATTTACCAATTCTTTTTTCCTACCCCAAGCTCCTATGGAAATAATTTAAAATCAAACAGAATGGAATCAGTATCATTTACAACTTAAATAAAGATAAAACGAAGATCTTATTATCTGCATCAGAAGTACTGGGATTAAAATTTATTATTAAATCTGCTAAAACATATTATATAAAAATAATTTAAATGCTAATAGACATTTGTACTAGAATCAGAAATTCCAATTTATGTTTGTATTAATAACTATTTTGTGGCTGGCGCTGTGTCACAGTGGGTTAACACCCTGGCCTGAAGCACCGGCATCCCATATGGGTGCCGGTTCATGACCTGGCTGCTCCACTTCCAATCCAGCTCTCTGCTCTGGCCTGGGAAAGCAGTAGAAGATGGCCCAAGCCTTTGGGCCCCTGCACCTGCATAGGAGACCCAGAAGAAGTTCCTGGCTCCTGGCTTCAGATCGGCGCAGCTCCGGACATTGTAGCCAACTGGGGAGTGAACCATCAGATGGAAGAACTCAATCTCTCTGCCTCTCCTCTCTCTGTGTAACTCTTTCAAATAAATAAAGAAATCTTTAAAAAAAATTATTATTTTGACACTTTAAAATGTGCTAATTTTCAAATGGATCAAAATAGACTTCTAAAAGCCACAATCTAAAATGAATTTTACATCTTATAATTCAAAATAAACAGTCTTTTCTGAAGTTATTATTTATTCTTTAACAGAATACTGCAAACCAAACCAAACAACTTAATGATCAACCAACTCATCTAATACACTTACTTGTATTAAAAAAATTACAAACATAGCTCCCAGATAAACATTTTCCCATCAGAAACTTGAAATTGTGCCCAAGTGCCAAAAAACAAAAATATATTGTTAAAGCTAAAAAAATATGACATATCCACAGAAATTCTGATCTAGCAACACATTACCAACCCAAAACACGGTCAGCAAAACTGATCATCAGACACTACATGAAGACTGATGATGACACATTAATTTTCCATCTGAGACCCTACAAAGTGGAACACTAAACAAAGAGAAGGTGCTCAATTTTCCATGAAGAACCACGTTAGAAAACAGGAAATGGGGAGAAAAACTGGCAACTAAGCAGCAGTTATCCAACTGCAGCATGTCTAACATAAGAATCAGTAAGTAGAAAACACACCCAAGTAAAGCACTGCAAAATTCAAGGCCAGAGACACAGAAAATGTGGGAAGGACAGAGCAAGATCTATCTTAATCTTCCAACAAAATCTATTTTCTCACTTTAAATTGATTAGATTTATATAAAATGAGGATGTAAACATCAGCAGATGAGAGTTCTCCATCTAGGCCAGTTTTCTCTTTTTCATTAATTGTAAAACTGAGAAGATATCTTTTCTGAAATCTAAAACTACACTAGGGTTATAGCTCTAAAAATTACTAACTTACTGTGACATTATCATACATAAGCACTTATAAATGAGCACATCCCAAACCATTACACTTGACACTACTATCCCGTAAGTAAAGAGGATAGCTGTGCAAGTAAGTCAGGAGCAAATCCAGAGTGAATAATGCTAATCAGGTTTCTTTATTGCAAGTCTTCAGGACATGTAACAAATATGTAACAAAAACCTCCCAGGTAGCAATGAGGATGAAACCTGTAGCATTTCTCAACTGTATGTATTTTTTTCAAGAAATATCTATCTCAGGTAGTCTGTACAAGACACTGCTGCTCTATAAAGTATCATATAGTTTTATACTAACTAATCATTTCAGGAGAAATTTCTACCTATACTTGAGAACTGGGTACATGACTTAGGAACTCTACTTCAATCACTTGTGAACACATTTGAAGAAATTCAAGAATCGTGTGATGAGTGCCAAAAGAAAAACCACTGATCACAAAATCAGCACTGATTAAAACAGTAGAATAAAATTATTCTCAATGGCACAACAGAATACAGGAAATATTAGCAAGAAACAAAATCTAGAAAATAAACAATAAGGGAGGTGGGCATCTGAAATACTGATAAAGACACAGCTTGGGACACCTCTATCCTGAGTGCCTGATTCGAATCGCAGCTCCTCTTCCTATTCTAGCTTCCTGTAATGCACACCCTGAGAAGCAGAGGTGATGGCTCAAGAGGCTGGGTTCCTAACACCAATGTGGGAGACCCAGTAGAATTCAAGGCTCTTGGCTTTAGTTTGGTCAGTACCCGCTTACAGCAGGCATTTGTAAAGTCAACCAAAGACCTTTGCCTCTTTGTCTCTCAGTATGTCTCTGCCTCTCAAATAAAAAGTGAATTAGACATTTAAAATTTTTAAAAAAAAGAAACAGATATTGACAAGACTAAAGTAGTCTAATAAATTCAGGATCAATTAAATGTTATTAATCTGATACCTGCTCTGTTAATGTTTAAAAGAACGTGTTGGGGAACTGGCATTGTGGTTCAGTGCTTAAGCCATCACCTGTAAAACGACATGTTGGTAACTTGGATCTAAATGCTATCTTAATTATTTTCTAGCATTACATCAAACAGGTAAAACTAAGATGTGGCAAGTTTTTGGTAGACTAAGTAACATTTTATGTTATTTTACTAATAGTGAGGTATATTATTGTAAGCAATAAAGAGAAACTCTCAAGTTCAAACTAATTAACTTCCAAATACTTGATTAAAAATAAAAGGCATGTGTACTAAATTATTATATACTTACCACACTGTGCACAAATTGGCAGCTTCTGTACAGAATTACAAAAGTAGCAAAATGCTCTATTCTTCTGCCGTCTTGTCATGTAAAATAAAAATTTTAAATATGGTAAATTTCATATAAAAGGTGAGTGGCACTGTTTTATTATGTGTACACAGTAAAAGGAATAAATAAAATTTACCTCTGACACTTGTCACATTCCTATAAAATGTAAAAAACATAACATTAATTTTTCTGCTGGCTGAAAATTGCAAATTTACTTGCTTTATAAAGAATACCTTTATATTCTTAACTCAAAATGTGACACTACCCCAAACCCTCCCAACCCCATTCATGTACAAAGGATCTATAGGTATTTAAGCAACAAAGGTATACTCTAGGCACTGGGCACATCACTCTAGAGGAAGTGGCATTATCACAAAGGAGTCTAAATTTGATGGTGTTTTATTTATTTTTTTTTTTTTTTGACAGGCAGAGTGGACAGTGAGAGAGAGAGACAGAGAGAAAGGTCTTCCTTTTGCCGTTGGTTCACCCTCCAATGGCCGCCGCTGCAGCCGGCGCACCGCACTGATCCTGGCAGGAGCCAGGAGCCAGGTGTTTTTCCTGGTCTCCCATGGGGTGCAGGGCCCTAGCACCTGGGCCATCCTCCACTGCACTCCCTGGCCATAGCAGAGAGCTGGCCTGGAAGAGGGGCGACCGGGACAGAATCCGGCGCCCCAACCGGGACTAGAACCCGGTGTGCCGGCGCCGCAAGGTGGAGGATTAGCCTATTGAGCCACGGCGCCGGCCGATGGTGTTTTATTTTTAAACTCTTTTTTAAGGAATTAAATACTACAGAATGGAGGTTAAAACACACACACACACACACACACACACACACACACACTGGAACAATAAATACTAAACTTCACAGAAAGCCCAGATTCCTAACTATGGTCTTAAACACAAATTGTCCTCCACAATCTAGTCCCTGATCGCTTTACAAACCTTGCTGACATATTCCCTTCAGATTCAAGTCAGTAACAGTCATAAATTGCCCAGTTCATCTTATACGCCTTTTTCCTGTTCTTTCTAGCTCTCTTTCGCTAAGGACCACAGCTGGTGCTACATGGGCACTCTCTTCTCTCTCTGCCTCCCCACCCCTTCTCCCTTCAGGCAATCCTCTGACCCACTCATGATGGGTACTTCTCCTTGTAGGGCTGCACACACTCACGCATGAGTGTATATCTGCTCTTTCACTGTTAAATAAATCCCGTTCTTATTTGCGCACATTTAAAAAAAAATGTTTCCGCAAATATACCTCATAGAAGTTCTAGTGACAATGCTACCTCTGTGAACAAGATACCCTCCACACAAGCTAGATTTTTTTCACCTCTTGTTCCGAATAAAGTCACTGTACCTTTCTTAACATACTAAAATCTAGTTCTCATTATATGCACAAATGTATACCATAAGACATAATTACTTATTGCTTTGTCTGCTCAGCACTTCTCTTCTCTGGAAAAGACCTTGACATACAATGGAATCCCCACTGCCATGACTGCACTGTATAATTTTACCTTCCCTCTCCCCCATAAATTATAGTACTGGGATGGGCACTAGCTCAAGGCCAGCCTATCAGACTCCTTGCTTCTCTGAGTGCTACAATATGTGACAGAAGACGGGCAACCAACCAGTAACTATAAAGTCAAACACACAAAGTCAGGGAAATGGAAGAAACCTAAGTTTTTTTGTTTGTTTGTTTGTTTGTTTGCTTTTGACAGGCAGAGTTAGGCAGTGAGAGAGAGAGAGACAGAGAGAAAGGTCTTCCTTCTGTTGGTTCACCCCCCCAGGTGGATGCTACGGCCAGTGCACTGCGCCGATCTGAAGCCAGGAGCCAGGTGCTTCCTCCTGGTCTCCCACGGGGTGCAGGGCCCAAGCACTTGGGCCATCCTCCACTGCCTTCCCGGGCCACAGCAGAGAGCTGGACTGGAAGAGGGGCAACCGGGACAGAATCCAGCACCCCAACCGGGACTAGAACCCTGAGTACTGGCGCCGCAGGCGGAGGATTAGCCTAGTGAGCCACGGCCCCAGCCAAAACCAAAGTTTTTAAAAAGCCAAAGATGGAACCACAAGCTATTTTAGGCTGCAGCTGTCCTTGAGTGCCAGCTATATCCTTCCCTTTTCCAGCTACATGGGCTATTTCATTATCCATTCATTTCTAACATGTTATAAACAAATAGGTCCTAAATAATAAACAACACAACTGAGCTTTAGGCTTGAGAAAATAGGAACATGTCAGTCATCTCTGTATTCCCCAAAGTGGCTAAAATAGTTCACAGGAGATGTACAATAAATGTCTGACAAATGAAATCACATTAAGCATTCCATATATGGTTTTTTTTAAATTTTTTAAATTTTTTTTTTGACAGGCAGAGTGGACAGTGAGAGAGAGAGACAGAGAGAAAGGTCTTCCTTTTGCCGTTGGTTCACCCTCCAATGGCCGCCGCAGCTGATCCGATGGCAGGAGCCAGGTACTTATCCTGGTCTCCCATGGGGTGCAGGGCCCAAGCACTTGGGCCATCCTCCACTGCCCTCCCGGGCCACAGCAGAGAGCTGGCCTGGAAGAGGGGCAACCGGGACAGAATCTGGCGCCCCGACCGGGACTAGAACCCAGTGTGCCGGCGCCGCAAGGCGGAGGATTAGCCTATTGAGCCACAGCGCCGGCTGCATTCCATATATGTTTGATGAAACAAGAGAATAAGGTCAGTGGGAATAGAAACATGCTCAAAGAAAGGAAAGAGATAATGATGACAAAATCTTTTACTTTCTCACAACTTTCACAATTCAAAGCAGCCAAAAATTGTCAAGACTACCCCACTGAGCACAGGCAGCTAAGGTAACAGAACAAGAAGCCAAAAGAGATGCCAACAACTTGGAAAGTTCAGAAAAGAGAAGTCACATGGGTGAACAATTGCTAAGAGAAAATGACAACATGAACAGCGATTTTTGAAACGGTGAAATTCAAGTGGCCAACACACACATGAAAAAATGCCCAGGATCCCTAGCCATCAGGGAAATGCAAATAAAAACCACAATGAGGTTTCACTTCACCTTAGTTAGAATGGCTACCATCCAAAAATCAAAAACAATAAATACTGGTGAAGATGTGGGGAAAATGGTGCCCTAACAGACTGTTAGTGGGAATGTAAACAATTCAATCATTATGGAAGACAGTAGGGAGATAGCTCAGAAATCTGAAAATATATGACCCAGCAACCCCACTCCTGGGAATTCACCTAAACAAAATGAAATCAGCATATGAAAGTTACCTGTCCCCCGGGTTTACTGCAGCTCAATTCACAGAAGCTAAGATATGTAATCAACCCAGATGTCCATCAATTGATGACTGGATAAAGAAAATGTGGTATATATTCACAACGGATTACCACTCAGCCATAAAAATGAATGAAATCCTGTCTTTTGCAACAAAATGTATATAAATGGAGACTATGATGCTTGGTGAAATAAGCCAGTCCCAAAAATACAAATATGTTTTCTCTGATACAAGGCAGTTTATATAGAATAGCAACAACAAAAAAGTGTAAGAATGAAATGGGCATCTTATGATTTGATTATTGTTTTTAGCCCTTGTCTATAGTCCTGTGAACAGTGGTCTTTCTACTTTTTACTCATTGAACACATGGTTAGTGGTACATTAAGCCCATGATTATAAAGTACATTAAAAGTATGTTATTGGAGCTGGCGCTGTGGCACAGTGGGCTAAGCCTCGGCTTGAGGCGTATGGGATGCTGGTTCATGTTCCAGCTGCTCCTCTTGCAATCCAGCTCTCTGCTGTGGCCTGGAAAAGCAGAAGTGCTTGGGCCCCTGCGCCCAAGTGGGACACTCAGAAGACAACACACTCCTGGCTCCCGGCTTCGGATCAGCTCAGCTCCCACCACTGCAGCAACTGGGGAGTGAACCAGTGGATGGAAGACCTTCCTCTCTTTCTCCCCCTTTCTCTGTAACTCTACCTCTCAAATAAATAATTTTTTTAAAAAGTATGCTACTGCAAAAATTAAAGGAAAACATAAGAAAGGAAGGAAGGAGAGAGGATTAAGGAAGGGAGGGAGGGAAGTATGGTTATCTTTTTAGAATTATATCTAGGAAACACATGAAATCTGTTTTCTTTATAGTAATAAAGGTGTTTAAGAAAGGAAAAAATACAATCATAAAATGTTATATAATATATACTATACATAATATATATAACAAAAAATGTTATCTTATTATCCGTTGTTAAATATTTGTTACCAACAGTGTTTTGAGGTAATATTCTAGATTTCAATCAAAATAATCACTGCTATTCAGTGTTAAGTGAAAACAATGAGAACGCCTCTAATACTTCAAATTCGGTAATCAAAGGTGCATTTCAGGTAAAATACTATACAGTTTTTCAACTGTCACGTGATATTAAAAAAAAAGTTGTTACCATGGAAGCATTACACGGGTGTTTAGCTAAATCTACAGTGCTTCTGGAGGCTCTTAGTTGTTTTTCACGCTCCCGGCGGTTTTCGGCCTTTTTCCTCGCACCAGTCTTTTTTTTGGGCATTTTTCCCTCCTTCCATAAAAGAGAACAGAAAAGCTGTAATAGGTTGCCTTTAATATTTTAATGAATTAAGACTTAGTATAATGAAATCTTCTTATTCTCAAATTTTAAGTTCAATTCTGTCATTTTTACATTAAGCACAAATATTCCAAATAAAATGGGTGACTTAAGGCACTCACTAGCAAAAACATTGTCAAAAAACAGAAATGTCAAAATATTCTACCCTGGGGTGAGAGTTTGGTATAGCAACTAGGATACCACTTGGGACCCCTGCATCCCATATTTGAGGGTCTGGGTTTAAGTCTCTGCTCAGCTCAGGATTCCAACTTTCTGCTAATGCATACCCTGGAAGGCAGCAGGTAGTGGTTCAAACATTTGGGTTCCTGTTACTCACATGGGGACCTGGACTGAATTTGAACTTCACCCAGCCATGGAATTGTGGCTCTCAGAGGATGGGAGCTCTCTGTAGCCCTCACTGCCTTTCAAATAAGTATTTAAAAAAAAAAAAAAAAAAAACACTATCATAAAAGCCAAAATAGTTTATTTTCCCATAAGAAAAAGTTTCTCTGATGTTAAGTATTCTGCACTTTAACAAAATTCATTAGGCATACATTAACAAGAAATCATTAAAAAGTGCAATATTTACCTACTTTAAATCACTTTAAGCTATATATTCGATAACCTGATGCTGTCAAACTTGGAAAAAAAAACTATTTTCTCTATGTAACATCTAAATAAAACTGTTAACCGAGTCACGTGACATCTCCAACCACAAAATCAAACCACTCTCTAAAAAGATATTAAAGGCATTACAGTGCCTTTGACTCTGAAAGCTTATCTTCTCTCCATGCAGTGAACATATAATTTTAACTGGGTTCAAGTTGAGGCTTACGAGCATACACGTTACACCAATTAAAGGACTTTAAAATCGGCTTTCCTTAAGTTGCAAGAAATACCACACGTAGAAAAACAAGATCTTTCTAAACCGAAGTTGTGTGCAATGTCCACATCAAAAATCAAGCGGCAGGCAGGGTGGGATCAACGCAGAAATCCGGACAGCCCAGCCACGAGTTCATAGATTGGCTAAGTAACGTCCAACCACTAGGACACTCGTGCAACATTTAAATAGACCAAATCTGTACAGCGCAGTGCCCTGGCCAAAACACTAAGCAACAATCCCGAGATCACGCGGGCGAATTCTGCTCCCGGAGTTGTCCCTGAACCCACCGGGAAAGTGGAGTCTCGTTTTCTTATCCCCGCCGATTTGTTTTGGACACCTAAGAATGAAACCCTCCTCTTAACCTTACACGGGGTCAAACCCTTCTCCGGTAACGCTGCACACTGCCCCGGTCACCCGGCGGCTTTGAACGGGAAGGCAGGAGCAGGAAGGGGCGCCACGCGGCTCCGCCAGCCCACGACCGTCACCGCCCGCGGGCGACCCTACCTCGAGCGCGCGCCGGGCCGACCAGGCTCGGCCTAGCGGGGAGGCCGGGATCGCTCCCGGGACGGAGGGACAGGGAGCGGCGTGAGGCCGGCTCGCGACCGCAGGAAATCCAATCCGCGAGCCAGCCCTCCAGCGACAGAGCCACTAACACCCACAGACAGGACAGGCTTCGGACATTCGGAGCCCGGCCGGATGTCCTCTTACGTGCCAGCGTCCTGACGGCGCACGTCGACAGGAAGCGGCCCGCCCCCTCTGTTGGCCCCGCCCCGCCCCGGCGCGGCCCGGCGCGGCCCGGCCCACCTGTGCTTGTGGCTCCTCTTCCTGGACTGAGGATTTGGAGAGGAGGGATGGGAAGCCAGGGAAAAGAGGGAAGCTGGGGAAACAGACGTGGAGAAAAGAAATGGAAAACTCTAAAAGGAGAGAAATAGAAAAGGAGGAATGCACTCGCAAACTTACTACTGGCTCAGCGACTCGGATGGCAAATTCTTCCCCGAATCTTTCGCAAACCTTTCCGCTCCTTGCGTCTTGCGCACCTCACCTCCCACCTTGTGTCGGTTGCTGCACGAGCTGCACCTCCAGTTGCCTGATGACGTTTCCTACCACCCTGCTTCGCCTCCTTCCTCTGTGCCGTCGGATTCCACTGCTCAAAACTCTCCTGCATTCTCTTTCTCTAGTGTGTGCCCTCCCTGGGCTTAGCTGAAGTCTGACTGCCCTCTCCAGCAAGGCTCCCTTGCTCTAAACTTCTCCCAAGGTGAAGGGGAAGCCAGGGCGCTTGCACCCCAGGGCCACACCTCATATCTCTCTGGCCACTCCACCTTACTTCCTTCAGTGCTGCTGTTTTACACCCAGTTATTGGTGAAAAAAGCTGGGACCCGATTTTCAACTTCTGCCATCACCCTTAGTCACACTAACATTTAGATGGAAGGCTTTACTCTTGGGCCCTTGATTTCACCTCCAGCAGTCATTACGTCCACTCCACTAGGCATTGGTATTCATGGGTATACCTTGGGCCTTAATAAATGGAGCTGTATACCTTAAATCCAAAATGCAAATGTCCAACCACATGACCTCCTATCTTGTCAATTCTTATCCTCAATTTTCTCTCCCAATAGAGACTTGGAAACTCGAACCCTCTATTCTCTCTCCAACAATCATCCCTTGGCTTCTTCCCTTTTTTGTATTCCCAGGCTACAAAACAGGCATCTCTTCCATCACAATTTGCCATGGTTTCTTTCTGATCAGATCAATTAGGGCATTCCTAGTTCTAGTAGTTCAACCTACCTTCCTTCCTTCCTTCCTTCCTTCCTTTCCTCGTCCTCCTCCTCCTCCTCCTTCTTTTCTCTCTCTTTCTCTTTTTCTTTCACTTAAGAAAAAATTAAGGAAAAAAGTCAAACCATCATGATTGTATTCCAAACGAATGGCCACCTGTCTCATCAAGTTTCTCAAATTTGCCATCAGGTGGCATACAATTCAAATCACTAATCCCATTTTAATTTCTGATGTCTTTGAATCCCCTGGCATCATCTGTCTTGGGTTCGTTTTCCATCGTTTTCATCGTTTACGATGAGTCAAAGATGACTATAAGGGGTATATTAGGGAATGTTTTGATGGAAAACGCCTGTGTGGAAGGGGTAGTGGCACAATTAGAGAAACGAAAGGGTGTAGACCTGCAGCATACTACCAAGGAAGCGCTTAATTTATAGCCTGAGGTGGCCTTTAGAATTGTGTTGAGCTAGGGCAAATGGACTGAGCCTTTTTAAACGTTAGCGTTCAGTCATTGGATGAGGGATATGAAGGGAGGGGGGTGTACTCTGGGCCAGAAGCGATAGAATCTTCCTGAAGAGCACCGAGGACTTTACCGTGTTAGCTTGCTGTACTCCCAGCAGCTTAGGAAATCAGACTTTTCCTTTCTGAAGAGGAACTCATTACAAAGAGTGATGGAAAAATAAATATGTAGACCAAGACAAGGAATCTTTACTGTTCGTGGACACTCAATGAAAGAATTCCAAAGGATTTACTTCAGGAAAAATGAAAATGAAAATGGTGAATGAAAAAATCAAGTGAAATACATTATATGGAAAATTGTAAAACAAAGTAAATAGTCATATACACTAGTAAAAATACCAAAACTTGCCTTAAAATGATATCAACTTCAGATTTTTGTTATCTCCAGGAAGAAATAAGAGATAGAAGATGTGGGACATAAGCTATACTTTTAGTTTCCTGAAAATATTAACTTTCGAAAAAATATATAATACCTCAACATACACCAGAACGGCTAAAATATGCAAGATTGATAATACCAAGTCATGGTAAAGATGTGGAGCATCACGGCTAGCGCTGTGGGACAGTGGATTAAGGCACTGTCTGTGACACAAGTATCCCATGTGAGCACCAGTTCAAGTCCCAGCTGCCCCACTCCCAATCCAGCTCTCTGCCAATGCACCTGGGAAAGCAGCAGAAGGTGGTCCAAGTGTTTCCCTGCCATGCACCTGGAAGAACTGGATTAAGTTCCTGGCTCCTGGCTCCTGGCTTCAGCTGTTGCTGCCATGTGGGAAGTGAATGAGTTTATGGAAGATATAACACATACCCCCGGTCTCTCCCTGTTTCTCTATATCTCTACCTTTCAAATAAATAAATAAACAAATAAGTCTTAAAAAGCGATTGGGAACATCTTACTTGGGAAAACACATTCATTTTTAGGAAATATAAATTGAGAATACTTTGAAATTATTTAGCATAGTGTATTAAAATATAGATAGATATATACCCTAAATGCACATATGTATTTTCTAAAATATAAGTAAAATAATGTTTATGGCCACACTATTTGCAATAGCCCCCAAACTAGAAACATCCCAATTATCCCTTAACAAGAAAATGAATAAGTGAATCATGACACAGTCACATAACAAAATATACACCAACAAGAATAGACAGACATCAAACTCACCTAATAGTATGAAAGAACCTCATAAAAATAATACCAAGAAGCCCACAACCAATAAAATGGGGGCAGAAAAGCACATTACAATTCCACTCAAATATTGTCAGAAATAGTCAGGTTAGAAGTCAAGACAGTGGTTTCAAGAGAACTGGAAATATTTTATTTATGGTAACTGTGATCAAACTTCTAATTTCCTTCTTTCAGTGAGAAAGTAAAATCTCTATTCATTTGTCTTCTTGAAACATACTTGCATTTACATGATAGGTCCTTCTCAAAAAGGAACAAGAGAACATCTTTATTTCAAGTCCTCAACCCCATGGTTCAGGCCCAGGCGTACTTGTGACTCATTTGCAGGACACATATATGCAAGGTCAGAGGATTTGGAGAGTTTGAGACTGTAGGACCCCATTCAAGGACTTTTCATTGTGGCTTCCATTAAATAATTAAAGTTTTTTATTTCTGAAAACAAAAATTAATTTCCTATTATATGCATGAAATATAATATTATTCAGCCTTTGAAAAGAAGATAATCCTGTCTTATGCAACAATGTGTGTGAGGCTTAAGACATTATTCCAAGTGAAACAAGCCAGCCACTAAATGACAATACTTCACAATTCCAGTTAGGTGTAGATATTCAAAATAGTCAAACTCATAAAGGCAGAGAGTAAAATGGTGGTTACCAGGGGCAGGAGTGGAAAGACATGAGGGGTTGCCATTCAATTGGGTATAAAGTTTCCCTAATGCAAAATGAATATATTCTAGAGATCTGTACAATATTGTGCCTATAGATAACAATACTGCACTGTGCAGTTAAAATTTATTGAAAGGATAGATCTCATGGTATGTGTTCTTGCCACAATATTTTTTTAAGCTTTCATCCATTCCAAGTCCAAACACCTATGTTGCTCATGTTTTGTGCATTCCACCATTCTTATGTATCAAAAGGGATAATTGTGCTTTGCAAAATAACTACATGGCAGATTCCACCTACCTGTTTTAAAGCAGCACTTTTTTTTGGTTAGGCTAATAAATGATCCTTTCACAAGTGATTATATATGATTAAAACTCCTTTTACAGTTCACAGCTACCTATCACCTTATGTCTCTCTTTTTCTCTAGTTATCACACTCTAGTATCTTCAAGTTCATTGTATGGTAGATAGGATGTTAAGCACCTTCCTAGACCAATTAGCTTTGGGGAGAGGGACAAGTTTCAATGTATCTGAATGATACCTATACAGCCCTTCATAAGGTACTAAAATTTTCACATTCATTGTTATATTCATACTCACAAAATTACACTGTGAAGCAGATAGCATCTCCCTTTTACAAATAGAAAGGTGAGTTAGTTTTGTTTATCAAAATAATGATCTGTGCTCCAAATTCAATTTATCATCTATTCCGAAAAGACTTCTTCTGGGTGTCTTAACCCAGTGCACGCAGGACAGCGATCCATCTGGTGAAGTCAGAAATTTGAGAGTCAGCCCAGACACTTTCATCTCTCTAATGTATCAGTCTATTCACTAAGCCTTTAAGGTGACCTCCAAATTATTTATCAAGTGCATTCTGTCAACTAAGTCCATATCTCCATTTCTGGCGAGGTGTCCAGAGAGGGAAGACAGAGCACAAAAAATTCTGGATAAAACAAAAGCAAAGCACTCAGAAAGTTTTACTTATATGACTAATTCAGAAAGAAAACAATAAAAGCTTGAGAAAATTAAGAGGAATGGAAGAGTGGGAAAACAGAGAGTAATCAGCTCTGGAGCTGGCATATGGCTGGGGACACCTAAAATTCTCCAGTAATTTAAAACTTGGATTCAATGTAGCTTGGACACTGGAGATAGAAGCCCTGTGACTAGGACAAGCAGGAATTCAGGTTGGAGACTTACTTAAAGCTAGGATTCTACAAAAGACAATATTCCCAGTGGGGGGAAAGGGGGAGAGAGAGAGAGAGAGAGAGAGAGAGAGAGAAGAGAGAGAAGGAGGGAAAGAAAGAGAAAGAAAAGAAAGAAAAAGAGGGGGCCTGGCGCCGTGGCTCACTTGGCTAATCCTCTGCCTGTGGCGCTGGCACCCCATATGGGCACCAGGTTCTAGTCCCGGTTGCTCCTCTTCCAGTCCAGCTCTCTGCTGTGGCCCGGGAAGGCAGTGAGGATGGCCCAAGTGCTTGGGCCCTGCATTCACATGGGAGACCAAGAGAAGCACCTGGCTCCTAGCTTCGAAAGAAAATCTTGTCTGGGCCAATGCTGTAGCATAACAACTTGAGCAGCTG